TGAACTCCTTTACATTTTAAATATTTTGTAATGTTGCTTATCAAACATTTCTACTAAGAATTTTTTAAAATCTCAAATACTTCTAGTTCCATCTTAGTAAGATCCAATTTTGGTATACTTGATATTCCTAATATCTAAGTTACTATCAGAGATGTTTTTAAAAGAAATTTGGCCAAAGAGGAAAAGAAAATTAAGAACAAAATGGAAAGCCTAATTCTGGGAAATGTTACAAAAGGGGAAGTTGAAAAGAATGACATGGAAACTAAGAATAAATGGTGTTCAACAGAACATCTTGTTTTAAGGATACTTAAATCTTTTAAATATTTTATCATTTTGTGATTTTTAAAAAACATACAGAAAATATAGAAAATAATGAAACATGTTCATCTCCCAGTTTTATTCAGTGTTAATATTTTGCTTTTTTAAAAAAAAAACTAGAATATTAAGAGTATAACTATGTCTCAGCCATTTCCCTCCCTCTTCTCAGGGATAACCCTTATCTAGAAGTTGATGAACATTAAGAATATAACTATGTCCCACTCAGCCATTTCCCACCCCCTTCTCAGGGATAATCCTTATCTAGAAGTTGATGCCTATCATTCCTGTAGTTATTTTTCCTTTCACATGTGTATTTGTGTGTGTATATAAATTTTTACATAAGCAGTATCATTGTATAAATTATTTTGCTATGTAACATTAGATTCTTGATAGATGAAGATTCATTTCAATTGTATAGTTTCCATTGTTTATTCATACATCCACAATTTATCATTCCACCAAAAAACAGGTTGTTTTCCACTTTTTTGCTATTTAAAAACCTTGTAGGCTGGGTGCAGTGGCTCACGCCTATATCTCAACACTTTGGGAGGCTGAGGGAGGCAGATCACCTGAGGTCAAGAGTTTGAGATCAGCCTGGCCAACATGGTGAAACCCTGTCTCTACTAAGAAATACAAAAATTAACCAGGCATGGTGGCACATGCCTATAGCACATCCCAGATACTTGGGAGGCTGAGGCAGGAGAATCACTTGAAGGCAGGAGGGGGAGGTTGCAGTGAGCTGAGATCATGCCACTGCACTCCAGCCTGGGTGACAGAGTGAGACTCACTCTCAAAAAAATTAACTAATTAATTAATTTAATTAAAACCTTGCTGCAGTAAGCATCTTTGAACATGTCTTCTAGGGTTCATGGTCTTAGAGTTTTTTCTTTAAACAAAGTTTAGATAGAAAACTGAAAATGGGCTGGGCGCAGTGGCTCACACCTGTAATCGCAGCACTTTGGGAGGCCGAGGCAGACGGGTCACTTGAGGTCAGGAGTTTGAGACCAGCCTGGCCAACATGGTGAAACCCTGTCTCTACTAAAAATGCAAAAAAATTAGCCAGGTGTGGCAGTGCACACCTGTAATCCCAGCTTCTCAGGAGGCTGAGGCTGGAGAATTGCTTGAACTTGGGAGGCAGAGGTTGAGTGAGCCGAGATCGCGCCATGGCACTCCAGCCTGGGCGATAGCAAGATTTTGTCTCAAAAAAAAAAAGTAAAAAGAAATTCAGAAAACTGAAAATGAAATCACTGGGTTTGCAGGGTCTGCAATTCTTCAGCTTTACTAGGCAATACTGAATTACACTATATTCTCATCAGTAACTCATGTAAGTTTGTATTTTACTACATCCATGTCAACAAGATGTTAGACTTTGAAACTTCAGACAGTCTTTATGAAATGGTATCATGGTTTAATTTGCATTTCATTGATTACTAGAGAGGTTGAAGTAACTTCACATTTTGATGTTCATTTGGGTTTTCCTCTTTTTATAGCCTTTTGTTTCCCTTTTTTTAGAAATAAAAACATAGGAGATCTTTATATGTTCTAGCTACTAATTCTTTATCAATTACCTATGTTGCAGATATCTCCACATATAAACAATGCCACATCGATGATAAACTAAGTTCCCATGTATACTTCGGGCCTAGGATTTTCAAAACCATTTCTGGATCCTTTTTAACCGTCCTTGCTCTAGCTTCTATCTTTCCTCTCATATTTTACTATAAGCAGCAAGAAGCCAGGTAGCAACTTCGACATTTTGCTTGGAGACCTAGCTAGAGTACCTAGTTCCTTAGGTACATTTTTCTGTGTTCTTCATTACTCTAGGTGATCATGTTTAACATTCTGGCACTACATAACAAAGGAACCTCTTACTTCCAGTTTCCAATAACATTCTCACTTCTGAAGTGGCAATGGCTACTGCTGGCAGTCTCCTTCAAGACCATCAGACTTTTTTTCTCAGGATGGTTTGTTTCTCGAGGGACCATCAGACTTCTACTAATAGTCTGTTAAGAACTTTAGGCTCTCACTAACATTCTGCTCAAAATTATTACAGTTTCCCCCTACTACCAGTTCCAAAGCAATACATTTTTAGGCATGTGTTATGGTAGCACTACACTTATATTCCCAAACAAATCTATATTAATGATCTATTTGCCACATACCAAATTACCTCAAAACTTAGTGGCATAAAGCAATAAACATTATTTCACAGTTTTTTTTGTTTGTTTGGGTTTTTTTGTTTTTTTGAGACGGAGTCTCACTCTGTCACCCAGGCTGGAGTACAGTGGTGCGATCTTGGCTCACTGCAACCTCCCATCTCCTGGGTTCAAACAATTCTCCTGCCTCAGCCTCTCGAGTAGCTGGGATTACAGGCGCCCGCCACCACACCCAGCTAATTTTTATATTTTTAGTAGAGACAGAGTTTCACCACGTTGGCCAGGCTGGTCTCAAACTCCTGACCTCCAGTGATCTGCCCGCGTCAGCCTCCCAAAGTGCTGGGATTACAGATGTGAGCCACCATGCCCAGCTGACTTCACAGTTTCTATGGGTTAGGAATTTGGGGGTGGCTTAGCTGGGGCAGGAAGATCCACTCCCACCATGGCTCACTCAGACGACTTGACAACAAGCCTCAGTTCCTCTCTGGCTCTTGGTAGAAGATCTCAGTTCCTCAACAAAGGAACTGAGGAACTGTTTTTTCTTTTTTTCAGCTTTATTTACTCCTTTTTTGGAGACAGGATTTCACTTTGTCACTCAGGCTGGAGTACAGTGGCATGATCATAGGTCACTGCAGCCTCAAACTCCTGGGCTCAAATAATCCTCCTACCTCAGCCTCCCAAGTAGCTGGGACTACAGATATGTGCCACCATGCCCGGCTAATTTATTTATTTATTTTTTTGTAGAGATGGGGTCCCACTGTTGTCCAGGCTGGTCTCCAACTCCTGGGCTCAAGCAGTCCTCCTACCTCAGACTCTCCAAGTGCTGATATTTGTCCAACCACAAAGGGACATTTTCATAGGGCTTCCTCAGGACGTGACAGTGGGCTTCCTATAGTGAGCAATTCAGGAGAGCAAGGAGAAACCCACAGTGTCTTTTGTGACCTAGTCTTGGAAGTTAGCCACCACCAATTCTGATTCTATTCATTAGAACCAAGTGACCTCAGATGATTCGCTAGCCAAAGTGCTGGGATGACAGGCATGAACCACCATGCCTGGCAAGAAATTTTGTAATTTCTTTAAGTGTCATCCTTAAAAACAAGTGATTGATTATAAAAGTTGTCTTTCTTTGTCCTAAAATTGGTTTTAAAAAATTGTGTTTAATTTCTACTATTCATTTAGTTGTTTTTTTCTTTTTTTGAGACGAAGTTTTGCTCTTGTTGTTCAGGCTAGAGTGCAATGGCACAATCTTGGCTCACTGCAACCTCTGCCTCCCAGGTTCAAGCAATTCTGTCTCAGCCTCCCAAGTAGCTGGGATTACAGGTGCCCACCACCACACCGGACTAATTTTTGTATTTTTAGTAGAGACAGGGTTTCACCATGTTGGCCAGGCTGGTCTCAAACTTCTGACCTCAGGTGATCCACCTGCCTCAGCCCCCTCAAAGTGCTGGGATTGCAAGCATAAGCCACCATGCCTGGCCCTTTCATTTCGTTTCTACTATTCATGTACACATGTACCGTGTTTTACCCACAGACAGCTGTGCTAACGGTTAAGATTGTCCCAGCCTTACTAAGATTTTCCTAAGACAGGTTTGTCTCCCAGACATTGGGAACTCAAAGGTGAGGAAACTTAGGTATGAAGGTGGATTGTGGATTCAGACCTTCTGACTCGGAGGCCACTGCAGAGACACACCAACAGAGTGACCTCGGGCACATGGCTTCACCTCTCCAAGCCTCATGCTCCTCATCAGTAAAGCAAGGGTTAGGGGAACCTACCTGTTGGCTTGTTTTGATAATTAAATGAGATAATGTTTGCAAAAAATATTTGGCAGGTAAATGTTAACTAAATTTTGAGCTTTTAAAAAAATGTTTTACCAGCTGGGCGAAGTGGCTCACGCCTGTAATCCCAGTACTTTGGGAGGCCGAAGAGGGTGGATCACCTTAGGTCAGGAATTCGAGACTAGCCTCGCCAACATGGTGAAACTTGTGTCCCTACTAAAAATACAAAAATTAGCCGGGTATGGTGGTGGACGCCTATAATCCCAGCTACTTGAGATGCTGAGCCAGGAGAATCTCTTGAACCCAGGAGGCGGAGTTTGTAGTGAGCCAAGATCACGCCACTGCACTCCAGCCTGGGCAATAGAGTGAGACTACGTCTCAAACAAACAGAGTTTAACTGAAGAGGCTTTCCTGACACCTTTTCGCTGCTGAAAATCGTAAAGCCTCTCCCGACCGCATCCTACACTCTTCCGGCCCAAGCAAGTGCGCTGGAACCGGGAGTTGGTGAGAAGCCGGCTGCCGGCAGCCTCAGCCCTTAGCGGCCCCGCGGTCGGGGACGTCGAGGCCTGATGGAGAGGCTGGGCTATCACGCCTGTAATCCCAGCACTTTGGCTATTACGCCTGTAATCCCAGCACGCGGCGTCGGGGCGGGCCAGTGGATGCGCTGCGGGGACGGGAGGTGTCGCCTCTCCGGCTCGCCGGTGACAGGGGCGGGCGGGTCGTGCGCGGGCCCCACCTCCAGCGATCGCGGCCCCGCCCCAGGTCCTCCTCCTCCACGGCTTACCCGGGCTCCGACAGCGGCTGTAGCTCTCCGAGTTGCGGCCGCAGGAGCCGGAGCCATGCGGACAGTAGACCGGGAGGCGCGCCCGGGGCTTCTGCCCCTGCTGCTGCTGCTGCTGGCCGAGGCCGGACTGTCCGCCACCTCGCCCCCAGCAGCACCGCGCTTCAACGTGAGCCTGGATGCGGCCCCGGAGCTGCGCTGGCTGCCGGTGCTGCCGCACTACGACTTGGACTTGGTACGCGCAGCGATGGCGCAAGTCATCGGGTGAGCTGGGGCCCTGGACAGGGTCTGCGGGTACGCCGGCGGTGCGGTTCGGAGTCAAACGCGCGCTGCTCAGAGTGCTTTAAACCGGGACGCTTTACTCCCCGCCACCCTTGGAGAACTGGCTTTGGCTGCCGCCCTGAGCAGTGTCGGGGTTGGGGAGAATCCAGCGCGGCAGGTTTGGCTTTCAAGTTCGGTGTCACCCGTGGCATGCCAGTCCTTGAGCCATTCTGGGTCAGCGTGGGGCGCGAGTTGTCGCCCGGGCTGCATTGCTACCGAAGAGGGGCAACCGCGCCTTCCTTGCGGGCCTCACGGGCCTTCCAAGCTTGGCCCTTTGGGACCAGCCTCACTCGCCCTCCCCATCTCCGAGTTTTCTTCCCCGCCGCCTCCCCTCCCTGCCCCCCGCCCAGCTTCCACCCTCTGCCCCTCCTCGCCCCCCCGCCCCCACCCCCGGGAGGCTGCAGATTGAGTGACGCGGCGCCTGGGCGGTCCACTGTCTGGGTAGCTGTGGCCCTGACAGTTCACGCCCTAAGGATGTAGCCCCGCTCGCAGTGCACACGAAGTCACGCCGCCGACCTCTGAGCGGGTCAGACGCCCTCGTGCTCTTCTTTTCTAGGGATAGAGTCCCCAAGTGGGTGCACGTGTTGATCGGAAAAGTGGTCCTGGAGCTGGAGCGCTTCCTGCCCCAGCCCTTCACCGGCGAGATCCGCGGCATGTGTGACTTCCTGAACGTCAGCCTGGCGGACTGCCTCCTGGTCAACCTGGCCTACGAGTCCTCCGCGTGAGTGCCCCAAGCCGGTGCGGAGTAACGCGGGACTTGCTGGGGCCTCCTGACACAGGCTAGCGGCAGGAAACATGTTTTCCGTGTGATAAAAACAGGGTGGTGCCTGCTTGCCCAGAAACTTACAGTGCTTCCTCGTTGCCTCTCTGGGTAAATCTGAGCTGCAGATCGTAGGCTTCGAGAGGGAAAGCAACTTCTCCGAGTCAGCATTGAACTTTCCCTCTACCAGTAGCCCGGGGTTTTCTCTCCCCCAATCCAGGTAGCATCCTACTTTTAAAATTCTGCTCAAAGGCCGGGCGAGGTGGCTCACGCCTGTAATCCCAGCACTTTGGGAGGCCAAGGTGGGCAGATCACGAGGTTAGGAGTTCAAGACCAGCCTGGACAACATAGTAAAACCTCGTCTACGAAAAACACAAAAAATTAGCCGGGCGTGGTGGCGGGCGCCTGTAATCCTAGCTATTTAGGAGGTTGAGGCAGGAAAATCACTTGAAACCGGGAGGCGGAGGTTGCAGCAAGCCGCGATCGCACCACTGCACACCAGCCCTGGCAACAGTGGGAGACTCTGTCTCAAAAAAAAAAAACTTCTGCTCAAAACGTACTTTTCCGAGAAGTTTTTGAAACTAAGCCTCCTCTTATCTGGACCCTTTAGTTAACTCAGTGGCCTTCCATCTCTATACTGGCAGTGGCTCATCTCTGCCTGTATTTGTCGCCCTGCATTTCTCCTTTCATGAGTGTCATGGCTGAAGTGTCTGTGTCCACCAGGGCTGAGGCGACAGGGAACACTGCTCTAATAGGGCCAGCCAGTGTTTGGACCAGGAAGTGGGCATGATAAAATGTGCACCCAGGCTGGGCGTGGTGGCTCACGCCTGTAATCCCAGCACTTTGGGAGGCCGAGGCAGGTGAATCACCTGAGGTCAGGAGTTCAAGACCAGCCTGGCCAACATGGTGAAACCTTGTCTCCACTATTAATACAAAAAACTTACCCAAGCGTGGTGATGGGCACCTGGGAATCCCAGCTACTCAGGAGGCTCAGGCAGGAGAATCACTTGAACCCAGGAGGCAGAGGTTACAGTGAGCTGAGATAGCGCCATTGCACCTCAGCCTGGGTGACAAAGCAGGATTCTGTATCAAAAAGAAAAAAGTGCACCCAGAAGTGAAAGCAACATGGAGTGTGTGGTTGATCCCAGGCAAAGTGCAGGGGACCACTAAAGGTTTATGGGCTCAGCAACAGGTTCTGGAATAAAGGGAGGTTTTGACTTGGTTTCTCCCTTTAATACTTATTATTTTGCCACCAGACTAGCTTCGTCTCGTAACCTCTTGTACATACTTAGAGCTTCTTGCTGCCTAAAGATGATGGGGGTAGAAAAGATCTTGGAATATTGAAACTTTACTGGCCCAGGCATTTTCCCAGAACACCTAGGCAGAGTAAGCTAAAAAGCACTGGGACTGCCTTCCTCTTCAGGAAATGCTTTCAGGCACAGAAAAGACACAGGCCTGCTAAATAACATGCCTTTCAGTTGAACTAAGTTATTATAATTTTACCACCTCCCTCTCCTACCTCCAACTTTTTCCTATTTTTAACTTACGGCTTTCTCAATGAAAAATCACGAATCATTTTTACCCTCATCTGTTGGAGTCACCGTATTCAAACAGATTAAAGCAAAAGTTCCAGTAAAAACATTCTAACTTTTGGATTTGATACTAAGGTATTTATAGAATTGCCTAATAGAAAGCACCATTCAATTCCACTAGCATTAACAAAGGAAATGCTTTCTTCTCATGTTGGAAGTAAGCCTTCTTGAATTGGAATAATACTAGCTACCCTTTATTGAGCCTACTGGGTGCCAGGTACTTCATGAACACAGCCCCGTGGGGAAGATGGTATCATCTGTTTTGTGATGTGGAAACCAAGCCTCAGAGGGGCCACCTTGCTGGAAGTCAGGTGGCTGGTGAGTGCTAGAAGCATGGGAATCTCCAGTTCGCTGCAGTGCCTCTCAAAGCAGAGTCTGTTTCCTCATTTGTCTCCCGTGCTTGTGCACTGCTACATCACACCACAGCATTTGGGCCTGATATGAAAGTATTGTTATCTTGCCAATTTTGAAAAATCGCCTTTGAGGGAGATTCTACAAACTCTGCTTTAGTACTTCCCATGTCTTACCAGTTCTCTCCCTGACCTGAACTCTTTGAAGTTAAACTCAGAAACGTTGGAGGGAGGCTGGGCACAGTGGCTCATGCCTGCATTCCCAGCATTTTGGGAGGATGAGGTGGATGGATCTCTTGAGCCCAGGAGTTCGATACCAGGATCTGTTGAGCCCAGGAGTTTGATACCAGCCTGGGCAACATGGTAAAACCTTGTCTCTACAAAAAATACCACAAAATTAGCCAGATGTGGTGGCTTGTACCTGTGGTCCCAGTACGCAGGAAGCTGAAGTGGGAGGATCACTTGAGCCTGGGAAGTCAAGGCTGCAGTGAGCTGAGATTGTACCACTGCATTCCAGCCTGGGTGACAGAGACTCAAAAAAATAATAATAATAATTAAATAAATCAATCAATAAATAACAGAAACCTTGGAGGGAATTAAAACTGACCAAGGTTCCATCTTTATTTTATTTTATTTTGTTTATTTTTGAGATGGAGTCTCACTCTGTTGCTCAGGCTGGAGTGCAGTGGCGCGATCTTGGCTCACCACAACCTCTGCCTCCCGGGTTCAAGTGATTCTGCTCCCTCTGCCTCCCAAGTAGCTGGGACTACAGGCATGCACCACCATGCCCGGCTAATTTTTATATTTTTAGTAGAGACGGGATTTCACTATGTTGGCCAGGCTGGTCTCAAACTCGTGACCACATAATCCACCCACCTTGGCCTCCCAAAGTGCTGGGATTACAGGCCTGAGTCACCCTTCTGGTGCCTGGCCCAAGTTTCCACCTTTAAACAAACAAACAAAAAGTAACACTTTTTCCCCCAATTATAAAAGTAACATGTAATCATTGTAGAAAATCAGTAAATGTAGAAAAGTAAAAAAACAAAGCTAACCACCATCCTGTTATTTAAAAATGACCAGAAAAACCCTCCAGGATATTTTCTCTCAGTTTTGTTCATGTGGATATACATATTTTTTCCCCTGGTATTGGACACACTGTATATAAATATTTTATTAATATTTATTATAAATACATAATATTTTTTCATGAACCGTTACGTATTCTCAGAAAATATGGATACTTAACAAGCCTCCTCCTCTTTTTCTCTCTATGAACTTCTGTTCATAGAGATTCCCCCTTTTTAAAAATTATGATCTCTGTGCAAGAAGCTGGGAGACAGGAAAAGTGCCAAGTCCCTTAAGAGCCAGCCATTTTCCCAAGGGGACAAAATGAAACATTTGTGAAACAATGGTTTAGTGTTACTTTATTTGCTCTGAGGCATTAATATGTGGAGAGGTGAGCTTGAGCTGGCTTTGAATCATGTGTTAAATAGAATACATGCTGCCAAGCAGAGGAAAAAGCAGAGTTCACAGGTCTCCTGAGCCCAGGATGGGTTAGTTTCACTGCAGATTTAGACTGAGGATGAAATTCTCACTCACTATGCTTATGATGCCCTGCATGTGTGCTAAGGGCAAACACCCGAGAAACACTGAATGAGCACAGGTAAGTTGTATCCAGTTGTGTTTTTCATCTTGAATTGTTAATCTATATTCTTACAAGCATTATAGCACATATGTCAGTCATAAGGAAGAAAAACTGTTTTACTTTGAGGATTTGTTTTACAAATGAAAAACTCCTTTTCCTTTTTTTTCTTATTTGTCTTATTCATTCATGTTGGACTTTTCCCTTTTCTCAGATTCTGCACCAGTATTGTGGCTCAAGACTCCAGAGGCCACATTTACCATGGTCGGAATCTGGATTATCCTTTTGGGAATGTCTTACGCAAGTTGACCGTGGATGTGCAATTCTTAAAGAATGGGCAGGTATAGTACATACTGTATAAGATAAGAAATCAGAAAGATTTGCAAACTCAAGTTAGCAGTCATTTGGATGGCCTGCCAACTTACGTGTGTTATCAGTATAAGACACAGAAAAATCACACCTCTGGAAAAACAAAGGCAGAAGAGAGGTTTACATCAATTATGCTTATAGGAAGGACGGTCATTTATTATTTATTATTGAGTGTCTACTTAAAGAGGTCACCTAGTTTTCCGTAGGGAAATCTCTTTTAGAGAGTGATCAATCATCCACTTAGGCAGAGTCAGCGCTTTCCTCTGCTTTCCCATGCCCAGGCTGCTTCTGGAATATGGAGGGGCTGGGTAGTGCAATAACTAGGAACACTCAACTTTGGGATCTGACAGTACCAGGTTTGAATCTTGATTCTATCAATTACTGTACTTCCTTTGTGAACCTGAGAAATTACTCATTCCCTAATTTTGCCAACTACAACTCATGGAGGTGCGTAACTACTTTACTGAGATAGTTATAAATGTTAAATGAAGTAGTCTGTGTAAAGTTGTAGCCAAATAATAAATGGTCCTTCATTCTGCAAGTATGATTGACCCACACCACTTTCTTGTGTATGATCTTTAAAAAATTATACTTAGATTTTTTGTTTATAGCATGGTCCCTTTAAAACTATAATCTACTATATACTGTTGTCACTGTGTAAACATTTAGAGAGACAGAATTAATCAATGCTCATTGAGTACACAAAGCATGTTTTGCTGTAAAACAGAATACAGTGTGCAAGAGCCAGATTTTTGCTGTAAGGACAAGGACTGTATTCCCTTTGTTCTTTGCATTTAGGGGTTGATTCACAAATACTAAAAACTCATTTACTAACTACTCAGTCATCTGCTTTTACAAACACTTTTTTTCATAAAAAATTCAAACAGTACAGAAATATTTAAAGTAAAAGTTTCTCCTTTCCAGTCCCATTTCTTTACTTCACCACTATTAATAATTTGTTTTCTAGCTGAATTAGTTTGAAAATGATTTTAAGTGGTAACGATAATATAAATGCATAATAAATTCTCAAAGGAAATCTGCTAAATATTGTTTTATTACTGAATGATGGGATATTTATTATTTATTATTTATTTATTATTCATGTTTTTTCTCCATTATTCTATAATGAGCTAATACTCTTATAAAGAGATAAAGGAATAAATGCAATGAAAATAAATTATTTCAGCTGTTCTGAAACTCACTCTAATAGTTGTTTCTTCTTTTGTTTTTGTTTTTCCTGGAGTTCCCATGAAATAATCTGTAGAGAAATATTCTGTAGAGGTAGCTTTACTGTCAGTACTCAGGTGACTGTTACTGAATGTAGACAGTTTACTTTTGGGTATTGCTTTTCTATGGAGGACTCATGGCCAAGAAATTGTTTTATGAAATTAAGAACAGGTTATCCACAAAATAATTCATCTCTCATTCTTGTCTAGTGTTTGTAATCTTAGAAGTATTTTCGGCCGGGCACAGTGGCTCACGCCTGTAATCCCAACACTTTGGGAGGCCAAGGCGGGCGAATCACTGGGTCAGGAGTTCAAGACCAGCCTGGCCAATGTGGTGAAACCCCGTCTCTACTAAAACTACAAAAAAAAAAAATTAGCTGGGCATTTTGGTGGGTACCTGTAATCCCAGCTACTTAGGAGGCTGAGGCAGGGGAATCCCTTGAACCTGGGAGGCGGAGGTTGCAGTGAGCTGAGATCGCGCCACTGCACTCCAGCCCAGTGACAGAATGAGACTCATCTCAACAACAACAACAACAACAAAAGTATTGTCATACACAGGACCTCATTTGATCCCCCCAGCAGCCCTGCGAAGCAGGCATCAGTCAACATTTTTATCTTTACTTTCTAGATGAGGGGGCCTAACTTCATAGAGACTGACTTGCCCCAAATCACAAGGCAGAGACATGGCAGAGGTAGGGCCAGAACCCAGGCATTGGGCCTACTGATAGTTTTCGTTGTCAAAGCTCAGCCTTAATTAGACTATAAATTATTATTATTGTTATTATTATTATTATTTTTACTGTTTTTATTTTTGAGACAGAGTCTCACTCTATCGCCCAGGCTGGAGTGCAGTGGCGCAATCTTGGCTCACTGCAACCTCTGCCTCCAGGGTTCAAGCAATTCTCCTGCCTCAGCCTCCCAAATAGCTGGGACTACAGAGGGTGCTACCACACCCGGCTAATTTTTGTATTTTTAGTAGAGATGGGGTTTCACTATGTTGGCTAGTCTTGAACTCCTGAGCTCAGATAATCCGCCCGTCTTGGCCTCCCAAAATGCTGAGATTACAGGTTTGAGCCACTGCACCAGGCAATTAGGCTGTAACTTAAAATAACTTAAAATTCCCTGCTAAGGGTTTGTTTATGTCAACTGACTAGGCAGAAACAATTGGGAAGTACAAACAGAAGTAAAGACAGATTTTCAGAGCTGCAAGATAAAATATCTTACAAATTATATCTCAAAATTATTTATCATTGTGTATGGTAATTGAGAACTATGATGTGATTTTTGATCTCATAACTTCAATTTTCTCAGCCCTTCAAGAGTGACCCTCAGGGTCACAGTGTCATGCAAATGAGGTGGCCATATAATTACTTTTTATTTTCCACGTAATTACATTTGTAAGGGCTTGAGTAGTAAGGTAGACTTATTTCTGCTTTACCACCATCCGTGGAGATGAGGCACTCATGGAGGCCCGCAGTAAGTCTGAGGGCTGAGGTCATTTATAAAACTAAGGCCACTGCATTCTCCCTTGTAATTCAGCCACCTTAAATTATTTTTATAAGCAAATAAGGTAAAAATAAATAATTAAATGAAAAACATTACTGACCTAATTTTTCTAAGGAAAATATCAATCTAGGACTATTTATTTCTTAAAACATAACAGTATTAGTTAACTTTTATCAAACAGTATGAGTCAGATACTGTTTTAAGTACTTTTTTTTTTTTTTTTTTTGAGACAGAGTCTTGCTGTGTCACAAGCTGGAGTGCAATGGTGCCATCTCAGCTCGCAGCCTCTACCTCCTGGGTTCAAGTGATTCTCCTGACTTAGCCTCCCGAGTAGCTGGGACCACAGGTGCATGCCACCACAGCCAGCTAATTTTTGTATTTTTGGTAGAGATGGGGTTTTGCCATGTTGGCCAGGCTGGTCTCAAATTCCTGGCCTCAAGTGATCTGCCTGCCTCGGCCTCCCAAAGTGCTGGGATTACAGGCGTGAGCCACCACACCTGGCCAAAGTACTTCTTTGAAAAATAAAATTTGGTATCAGAAATAACTGATAATGGCTAGCTGTGGTGGCTCATACCTGTAATCTCAGCACTTTGAGAAGCCAATACAGAAGGATTGCTTGAGCCCAGGAGTTTGAGACCAGCCTGGGCCACATAGGGAGACCCTGTTTCTAGGAAAACCAAAAAAAAAAAAAAGTGTGTGTGTGTGTGTGTGTGTGTGTGTGTGTGTGTGTGTATATGTCAGGTTTGGTGGCATGCACCTGTGGTCCCAGCTACTTGGAAAACTGAGGTAGGAGGATCGCTTGAGCCCAGGAGGTTGAGGCCACAGTATATTGTGATTGCACCATTGCACTCCAGCCTCGGTGACATATAGAGTTTGATTTTTCTCCTGCAGGTTACATAGTGGTATCTTGCAATCACTGGAGCTCACTTAATTTAAAGTGGGGGTGATGCCTATAATTAATGGGATAGTTGTGAGGATTAAATGAAAGAGCTATGTAAAAGGATTTTTAAATATTTAAAATTTAAACGTGATTATTATTGGTGAACAGTCCCACTTGTTTCTCCTAACGTCACAGAGCTTATAAAATATGTGATATTTATCTCTTATAATCAAATCAAAACAAGTTTTATTTTATTTTATTTTATTTTGAGACAGAGTTTTGCTCTTGTTGCCCAGGCTGGAGTGCGATAGCGCTATTTTGGTTCACCGCAACCTCCATCTCCCAGGTTCAAGCGATTCCCCTGCCTCAGCCACTCTAGTAGCTGGGATTGCAGGCATGCCCCACCACGCCCGGCTAATTTTGTATTTTTAGTAGGGTCAGGGTGTCTCCATGTTGGTCAGGCTGGTCTTGAACTCCCGACCTCAGGTGTTCCACCCACCTCGGCCTCCAAAAGTGCTGGGATTACAGGTGTGAGCCGCTGCGCCCAGCTTCAAAACAAGTTTTAAAGTGAAATTCCACTTGCTACTTCTAGGATGGGGCTTCTTAACCTGCTTTGTGCACCCCTTTGGTGAATAATGTTTTATAAATACATAGTAAATGTGTGTGATTACAAAGAAAATCAGTTGTGTTGAAAACAGCCATTTCAATGTTATACTTTTTCTTAACACATTAAATAGTAAGGTTTAGCAGGGGGTCTAATAACTACCATGATTTCAAAGTAGTAAATTATGGACAGTGTTTCAAAATATCTGCAGCCAACATTGTGTATGTGAAAAACCCTGTGATTTCTACTAGTGACAAAATTATAGGCACCACTATGATTGCGTGATTTGTTGCATGCGTTCATTACAGAAGGAATTAAATTTCAGTTGGAGGTTAATGAAAATAAAGATGCATCTTTTTTTTTCCCATCCAAGGTCACAAATCTACTAAAATCTATCTATGGACCACGTCCTCCACCCCAGCTTAAGGTTAAGAACCTCTGTCTTAGAAGGCTATTTCAGAGTTTTATTCTATTTTGTTGGAATTATTTTTTAAAAATCCAGAAAACTGTGGGGCAAAACAGATAATTTCAGTGTATTTGATTGGAATGGTGGAATGATCCATGTATCTCTTGATTTCAGATTGCATTCACAGGAACTACTTTTATTGGCTATGTAGGATTATGGACTGGCCAGAGCCCACACAAGTTTACAGTTTCTGGTGATGAACGAGGTAATCAAAACAAACTCCTGTGTAATTTTAGCTACATTATTGTTCAGTTCTATCCAAGCACTTCCTTCACTCGCCCAACAGAACATACAGAACACCCACTATGTGGCAGGGACTTCCATCCTAGTGGGGGAAAATAGACAGTATGCGTGGAAGCAATGAAGATGATTTCAGGTAGCAATAAGTGTTGCAAAGAAAGCAAAATAGGAAGCTGTGATAGAGAGTGAAGGAGGAGGTGGAGTGGTTAGTACAGGTCAGAGGGTCAGAGAAGGCCTGATCCATGTGATCCAGGAGCTAGTTCTACAGAAGCCAGGGGAAGACCATTTCTGGTGGACTTACCGCAAGGACGAAGGCCGTAGGTAGTAATAATAAGCTTGGTGGATTTCAGAAGCCGAAGAAAGTCAGTGTGGTTATAGCGTGGAGTAAGTGGGTAGTGACATTAGAAGTGAAGAAGAGGCTGAGGGCATGGTGCAGGGCCACAGTGAAGAGTATGGATTTTAAGCATAATGGAAGCTGTAGGGGGATTGTAGGCCAGGGAGTGAACAGATGTGATTTATATTTTTAACTATTACTTTTGCTGCTCTGTAGAGATTGGATTGTGTTAGGTTAAGATGGAAGCAAAAGACCATTTGGAAACTACTGTGATAATCTAGGGGATATATGATGCTGTTATACAAGCAACATTTGTAAAGCACTTTCTGGTTTACCATGCACATCTTCACATGTCTTCTTCTTAGACCCTCACAACAGTCCTGTTAGGCAAGGCTGTTATTTTTAACTCCATTCGTTAAGTAGAGAAGGACATAGGCTGTGAGATGAAATGACAGCTAGTAGTGGGAGAGGAAGTTCTCAGATTGCTCTCCTGAGTCCTGACCCAATTGCTCTGTTCATTGACATTCCCACTGCCATGCCCCAGATCTCAGGGGAACACCATTTAGTTCCACAGTATGTGGGAAACCTAGAGATAAGTGAGCTCTGTGTCTGTCCTCAGTGTGCAGCTGAATCAAGGAGAAGGATATATACAAGGAGTATCTTAAAGTTTAGTGTTGCTCATCTGATGAACCCTGATTGACTTCATGGTGTTGTTTTTTTGGGTTTTTGTTTGGTTTGGTTTGGTTTGGTTTTTGTTTTTGTTTTTGAGACAGTCTTGCCCTGTCGCTCAGGCTAGAGTGCAGTGGGCGATCTTGGCTCACTGCAACCTCTGCCTTCCGGGCTCAAGCGATTCTTGTGCCTCAGCTTCCTGAGTAGCTGGGATTACAAGACGTGCCACCATGCCCAGCTAATTTTTGTATTTTTGGTAGAGATGGGTTTTCACCATGTTGGCCAGGCTGATCTCAAACTCCGAACCTCAGGTGATCCACCCATCTTGGCCTCCCAAAGTGCTGGGATTACAGGTGTGAACCACAGCTCCCAGCCAGTGTGGTTGTTTATTCTTCTCTGCTTTACCGGGAAGATGATGATTGAGTATATATCAGTGTCCACAGTAAACAGTTATTTATCCTAATGTATTTCTTCCACATTTTCTCACTCCCTAAGTCTTATCAGCTCTGACAGCAGAACTAGACTGTACCTGTCCATTCTCTCTACCTCCACTGTTGAGCTAGCCCCTGTCACACCTGTACTGCCTGATCAATCCACCTGATCTCCTTGCTACTATTTTTACCTTCCTATAATTCTTTCCCTACCCAGCAACTAGAATGGTCAGGTTGTTCCCCTGCGTAAAACCTATTGTGACAGATATCGCATGATTTCACTTATATGTGGAATCTCCAAGTTTGAACTCACAGAAGCAGAGAGTAGAATGGTAGTTGCTATGCACTGGGGAAAAAGGGAAATGGTCAAAGGGTACAAAGTTTCAGTTAGACAGGAGGAACAAGTTCTGGTGATCCACACAGCAAGGTGACTACAGTTAACAATCATGTATTACATATTTCAAAATTTCTAGAGTGGGTTTTTAAAAAATTAATTTTGTTATTGATATACATTACATGTGCATATTTTGGGAGCACATGTGATAATGTGTTAAATTCATATAATCACAGAGAAATGCAAATCACATTTTTATTTCTCTTAATGATTAATGATATAGAATATCTTCATGTGCTTACTGGCCATTTCTATATCTTCTTTGGAGAAATGTCTATTCAAGTACTTTGCCCAGTTTTTTGTTTATTTGTTTGTTTGTTTTGAGACAGAGTCTCACTGTCTCAAATCACACATTCATAAACGCATGATCATGTATGCATGATCTGATTGTGATATGTGTTACTTTAAATATTTGTCTTTTCTTTACACTAGAAACAGTCAAATTCTAGCTATTTTTTGGCGGGGGGGTCGTTAAAAAAAATTTAAAAAAAAATTTTTTTTTTTTTTTAGTAGAAACAAAGTCACACTATATTACCCAGGCTGGTCTCAAACTCCTGAGCTCATGCAGTCCTCCTGCCTCGGCTTCTCAAAGTGCTGGGATTACAGGAATGAGCCACTGCACAAGGCCTGTTTTTGTTTTTGTTTTTTTTCTTTTTCTTTGTTTTCTTAAGACAGAGTCTCACTCTATTACCCAGGCTGGAGTACAGTGGTGGGATCTCGGCTGACTGATCTCAATCTCCTAGGCTCAAGTTATCCTCCCACCTCAGCCTTCTGAGTAGCTGGGACTACAGGCATGTGGCATCATGCCTGGCTAATTTTTGTAATTTTTGTAGAGGTAGGGTTTTGCCATGTTGCCCAGGCTGGTCTAAAACTCCTGGGCACAAGTGATCCGCCCACCTTGGTCTCCCAAAGTGCTGGGATTACAGGCATAAGCCACTATACCTGGCCAATAGTAGCCTTCTTAATGGGTGTGAGGTGGCATCTCGTTGTAGTTTTCATTGCATTTCTCTAATGATTAATGATACGGAATATCTTTTCATGTGCTTACTGGCCATTTGTATATCTTCTTTGGAGAAATGTCTATTCAAGTCCTTTGCCCATATTTTTTGGTTTTGAGACAGTCTCACTCTGTCACTCAGGCTGAAGTGCAGTGACTCAATCACAGCTCACTGCAGCCTTGACCAACAGCGCTCAAGCAATCTTCCTGCCTCAGCCTCCCCAGAAGCTGGGACTACAGGCATGTGCCACCATGCCTGGCAATTTTTAAATTTTTTGTAGAGATGGGTTTCATTATTTTCCCCAGGCTGGTCTAAAACTCCTGGGCTCAAGCACTTCTCCCACCTGGTCCTCCCAAAGTGTTGGGATTATAGGCGTGAGCCAACACATCTGGTCCTTTGCCCATTTTTTAATTGGAATGTTTGTTTTGTTGAGTTTTAGGAGTTCTCTAAATACTCTGGATATTAATCCCTTATTGTTGCAAATATTTTCTCTCAATCTGTGAATTGCCTTTTACTCTGTTGATACCGTCTTTTTTTTTGTTTTTAGACAAGAGCCTCCCTCTGTCACCCAGGTTGGAGTGCAGTGGCCCGATCTTGGCTCACTGCAACCTCTGCCTCCCGGGTTCAAGCAATTCTCCTGCCTCAGCCTCCCGAGTAGCTGGGATTACAGGCTCCTGCCACCATGCTTGGCTAATTTTTGTATTTTTAGTAGAGACAAGGTATCACCATGTTGGTGAGGCTGGTCTTGAACTCCTGACCTCAGGGGATTCGCCCACCTCGGCCTCCCAAAGTGCTGGGATTACAGGCATGAGTCACCACGCCTGGCTGATACTGTCTTTTAATGCATAGAATTTTAAAAATTTTTTTGTGAAATTCAATTTGTCCATTTTTTTCTCGTATTGCCATTACTTATCTTTGAATGAAAACTTTTGTTTGGCAATGAATCCCCTAACAGACTTTTAAAAGTTGTCCAAAAGTAATTTTGGGAAATGATTGCAAATTTGTATTTTTTTTAAATGTGAGCACAAATCACAGGTGTGGAAGATTCAGGTTCTCTATGTTCTTCCTAATATTTATTAAGACACTACCCTTGACAGCTACGTAATTTTATTTTGTCTGGTATAATTAGTAGAATTATTTCCTGTAACATAATTACCATTGTATCCTGGTACAAAAGATTCTGCTTTCAAAACTTGAGTGAATATCTCTCTATATTCCCTTCCTAAAATGACATATCTGTTGCATGTGTGTATATACACACACACACACATATATAACATATATACTCAACTTGGCAGATAAAGGCTGGTGGTGGGAGAATGCTATCGCTGCCCTGTTTCAGAGACACATTCCGGTCAGCTGGCTGATCCGCGCTGTGAGTATATTTAATGTGTAGCCCTCCTTAACTCCACTTCCACCTTCTAAACCGTTCTGTGTCATTTAACAATGTTGCCTTTAATGTAAGGAACTCCTTAAAAGAAGAAGCATCTAACTAAATGTTTGCAAAGTGCATATAAACCTTTTTGATAAATGCCAAAGATAAAGCCAGACACTAGTTAAAGTGGTAAGGACAGATTGTAATCAGTATAAGCTATTGCAGTAAGGAAGAGTCCAGTGTGAACTAAGTTCAACTTTGGTTTGTGCAGAGGTGATGGGTATTTTAAAAGGAGGTGAGGGAACAGGAGCTTAGGAGAATCAGAAAAGTGAAAAGTGGAAAGGAGGGGTTGGTTCATGTGAAACCAATTTGAGTTTGCTAACTAGAACTTAGAAGTTACGCTCCAGCCCGGGCACGGTGGCTCGCACCTGTAATCCCAGCACTTTGGGAGGCCGAGGCAGGCAGATCTTGAGGTGAGAAGATCGAGACCATCCTGGCTAACACAGTGAAACCCTGTCTCTACTTAAAATACAAAAAATTAGCCAGGTGTGGTGGAGGGCGCCTGTAGTCCCAGCTACTCAGGAGGCTGAGGCAGGAGAATGGCATGAACCTGGGAGGTGGAGTTTGCAGTGAGCCGAGATCGCGCCACTGCACTCCAGCCTGGTCAATAAGAGCGAAACTCCGTCTCAAAAAAAAAGGAAAAGAAGTTTTGCTCCTACCCTCCCACAGAGCCAGGGAGACAGGGGCCCTACCTTCAGGTGTTGGCTGGAACAAATGTCAAATTCTTTTGATAGCCTGAAGTTTTCTCAGACAGGCACTTTAAGGGGACTTAGTCATCTGAGAGACGTGGCCTTGAGCTGTTAGAAACTATAAGTATTTGTTCGAGTCTTTATAAGCCAGGGTCAAGGTGTAATAGAGAAGAGGGCTCAGAGGAGCCTGGCTAGAGTTTGGTCAAGGAGAGAATCTTTGTCATAGGCCAGAGTTTTCCACAATAGCTGATTGAGATAGGAGATAATATTTTGCTCTTCTACAGAGACAGATGTACTTTCCTTTTAAAATCTCCATTTGCAAATATCCAAACTAGCAAAGCAAATGCATTAGAAGGTAGCTGTGCACACAATAAAAGGAACATCTGCTCTACAAGAACGTATTAAAATGTGCTGGGTTCCAGGCCACATCTACAGTAGTCTCCCCTTATTCTTGGTTTCTGTTATCCACAGTCAACTGTGGTCCAGAAATATGAAATGGAAAATTCCAGAAATAATTCATCGTTTTTAAATTGCACAATATTCTGAATAGTGGGATGAAATCAGTCACCTAGTAACTGTCTCAACTATCAGACTATCACCGCATCTCAGTGCTTGTGTTCAAGGAACCCTTATCGTACTGCATAATTTGCCACAAAGTGCAAGAATAGAGATGCCGGCAACTTGGGTATGACAAAAAGAAGCTGTAAGGTGCTTCCTTTAAGTGAAAATGAAATGGCATCTTTGTCCGGGGTGATACCTGAGATTTGTTGTCACAGGGCCACAGAAAACTAGAATGCGGACACACCAGAGTGAGGTTAAGAGTGGAAGTTTAATAGGCGAAAGAAAGAGAAGAGCTCTCTGCAGCAAGAGAGGTCCCAAAAAAATGAGTTGCCGCTTCCACGGGGAAATGCAGGAGGTTTTATGGATGAGCTTGAGGCGGCGGTGTCTGATTTACATAGGGCAGGAAAGATTGGTTGGACCAGATGTGCTATTTGCATAGGGCAGGAAAAGCTGTCTGCCCCCACCCTAATCTTTTATTATGCAGATGGCTTCTCTACCTGGCTGGTGCCATGTTGCCTGCTTCCTTACTGTACACATGGTGACAAAGAAAAGGGAAGATGGGCCGGGCGCGGTGGCTCACACCCGTAATCCCAGCACTTTAGGAGGCCGAGGCGGGTGGATCACCTGAGGTCAGGAGTTGGTGAAACCCCGTCTCTACTAAAAATACAAAAATTAGCCGGGTGTAGTGGCGGGTGCCTGTAATCCCAGCCCCTTGGGTGGCTGAGGCAGGAGAATCACTTGAATTCAGGAGGCAGAGGTTGCAGTGAACCGAGATCTCACCATTGCACTCCAGCCTGGGCAACACAGCAAGACTCTGTCTCAAAAAAAAGAAAAAGAAAAAAGCAGGGAAGATGGAGCCTCCATGTTGAACATGCCTGGCCCCCAGGTAGCCCTTTTCTGTTGGCACAGCTGCCGGCATCCACCTGTGCAAGCTTCCAGCTTGCTTATGTCTATGTTTGCAGCTCCACTTTTCAGGCTGCTCTTTGTTAGAAAAGAAGAACTTCTTGGGCTACTTTTTGTTAGAAAGGAAGCCTTGCCAAGGACTCTTTTACCCTATCTGCCTAAATAATTTATTTCTATCTCCTGTATCAAAAAGGTAAAAGTTCTTGGTAAGGAAAGAGAAAAAAATCGTTATGCTGAGGTTGCTGTGTTCTCTGGTAAGGACGAATCTGCTAGGTGTGATGGTGCTCGCCTGCAGTCCCAGACACTCAGGAGGCGGAGGCGGAAGGATCCCTTCTGCCCAGGAGTTCAGGTCCAACAGACAACATATTGAGACCTCATGTCTGAAAAGAAGTAAATAAATAAAATAACAAAAGAAACCTCTGGGACCTAGACTAAAAAAAAAAAAAAAAAAAGGAAAGAAAGAAGAAAGAACCCCCATGTCTATTAGCAGTCACTGCCCATTTCCTGAGATGGATGAGGCATTTGCACTCCCTGACTTTGTCACCTGGGTAAAATAAGTCACCACTGCCTTCATTATTTTTTATGATGTCCTTTTGCTTTGTTGTCACAGGTTAGAGGCAATGAATTTTATGGTAGTTGGGGGATGGTATAGGCAACATAAGCAAACTAATATTTCATCACTCCTATTACCTCTGCAAAGGCCTGGGGAAAATTTCCTCTTTGCCCTCTGAAGGTTCACTGAAAAGTCAACTCACAAAAGGCAGATTAATTGGAGAAAAGGCATACAAATTTATTTAACATGTACATGACATAGGAGTCTTCAGAATGAAGACCCAGAGATACAGGGGACATTGTCCGGTTTTATGCTTAGGTTTAACAAAGTATGGAATGCCATGTAGAAATACGATTAGACAAAAAGGTAGATCCAGGGCTAATAAATGGAGTGGGGAAACCCAGCTAGGCCTGTCTGTCTAGATTCTTCTTGGCCTCTCTGACCATACATTTCCTTCTTCTGGGTACAGGGCAGGATCCTCTCTGGAAAGGGATCATATGACCTACAGTCAAACAAGTTAGGACAGATCATTTCTTTCTTTTTTTTTTTTTTTTTTGAGACAGGGTCTCACTCTGTCGCCCAGGCTGGAGTGCAGCAGCGCAATCTCGGCTCGCTGCAACCTTCACTTCCTGGGTTCAAGCAATTCTCCCACCTCAGCTCCCTGAGTAGCTAAGTATAAGGCAAGAAAACTCTACAAAGCCCTGCCATGGGTTTTGTAGAGTTTTCTTGCCTTATACTTATTGCTGTTAGGGTTTATGGTGCTGAATGATGGAGCGTTTGCAGACACCAATATCTTGAATTGTTCTTTTGTTTGACTCTATCACCACCTCCACCCTTGACAATGTGCCCTGGCAATATCCAGGATGGGTGAGCATACAATGTACTTCCTTTAAAACATGGCAGCAGAATGGTTGTGAAGGTGGAGACAGGAAGAGCAGGCCCTCCACCGAAGGATATTCTTGAGCAGATCAGCTCTGGGAAGGAGCCCATATGGAATCTGAAGATTTGGGGAGTGATCCCCTTAAGTATCCTTGCCACAGGCCTTTGGAAGTCTTCCTGGGCCCTCGGGGTGTCTGAACACCTATTAAGCTCAGGGCCCTAATGTAGCACATGCTCTTTCATCCCCAAGCCTTTGCCAGTCTAGTCCATCGAACTAGAACCCTCCTCCCCACTGCCACTCCTCACCCTGCAACCACCACTTTCACCACTCACTTGTGTTTGTCTCTTTGGCTTCAATTCATGTGATGCTTCCCTGCAGTACTTCTTCCACTGCCTTTGGTGAGGATGGGTCCCCTACAGTGACATCCATAGCATCTTCTCCTATGTGAACACTCATTACACTGTCACCATTGGCTGTTGACTTTTCTGTCTTCCTCAGAGGTTTGGGGAGAATAGGACCAGTCGACTCATTCACTGCTCTATCCCCACACCAGCACAGTGCCTGGCACAGAGTAGGTATTCCAGAAAACCCCGTTGAAATAATAAATGAATGAAGAAGCATGAGGAGTCCTTTGTGAGGGCGATCTGCCTGGAGAGCACACAGCCCGTGTTTGCTGAGCCAGGCCTAGGACTTGTCAACAGTTCTCTCCTCCTGTCAGAAATTCCCGCTGCTCCTGGCACCCCCTTTGAAGCTGACATTTCTTCCATCTCAGGAGCCCTGATGACAAGAGGATAAGGTCAGAGCAGATCAAGGTGATAGTCATGACACAGCATATCAGGAGAATGTGCTTTGGATCATTTTTGCATCATCTGGTGCGGACCCAGCTGCAGGTGAGGTTGCTCATGCAAGTTCTTCTTTTTGTTCAGACCCTGAATGAGTCAGAAAACTTCGAAGCAGCTGTTGGCAAGTTGGCCAAGACTCCCCTCATTGCTGATGCTTATTACATTGTTGGTGGCACGTCCCCCCAGGAGGGGGTGGTCATCACGAGGAACAGAGATGGCCCAGCAGACATTTGGCCTCTAGATCCTTTGAATGGAGCGTAAGTAGAACCGAAAGTTCTGGTCATTCTGTATCAAATAATCATGTTTTCAAATTGGTGGAATGAAGGGTATTTAAAATTTGTTCATATGTCTCCTTTGCTATTGTCATAAATTGTCGTGGATAAGACAAGATGATGTGCTCTGTTGTAGGTGGTTCCGAGTTGAGACAAATTACGACCACTGGAAGCCAGCACCCAAGCGAGATGACCGGAGGTAGGCTGCTATGTGCTTTCTGGTTTGCAGTGTTTTCTTGTGGTCAGGAGAATATGCCCATTCTGTCACAGGAACCTGCAAGACCTACGGGTGCCATCCTCTCCCAGAAAATGTACCTGGGCCCCTTCACCAGTGTCTTGGCCGGGAAGGGAGTGTTGTGTGGAGGAAAGCAATGGGCAAAGCCTCTCAGCAGCTGGGCGGGTGTTGGGAGGGTCTCAGGGTCAGGAGCCCTAGAGCCCACCACCAGCTCTGCTAATGACTCACTGGGTGGCTCTCGGGCCTCTGTTTACCCATCTGTAAAATGAAAGCAAAGGGCCAGGTTCATGGTCTTCTAGGCAAGATATTTTTAGAAGGAAATTATTTCCCTTATTTAAATAATAAACCAGTCAAGGGTTTTTATTGTCCCTTCAAGTTGTAAACATTCTATAATTATAAGTCAGCACGGTTCCAAAGTGCAGGTAGCTGTATAGGTTGCCTTGGCTTTACTGCCCCACAAGTTTGGCCACTGTTCAGTTCTGCAGCCACACATTTTCATCATCCCAGCTTTCTTGAGCAGATGGTGCCAACCGTCCCAGCTGCTGGATGAATTCCACCGTGGTGAGCTGGGCCTCAGCAGGAAACAGGCTTGGGGCCAGAATCTGTTTTGGAGAAAGGGAGATAATGAGACTAGAGCTTGCATTGTGCCTCATAAAAATGATAGCTGATGGACTTCAGTGCTTGTTGAAGTGCCAAGTGACCTTCGACCATTGTCCTTACAGAACACCTGCCATCAAGGCCCTTAATGCTACGGGACAAGCAAACCTCAGCCTGGAGGCACTTTTCCAGGTAACTTGTGTCACAGTGTCGCGCTTACCCAGGATGTTTGGTGTTTTGTTAATAGTGAATATGAAAAGCTCCGTGAAATCCTCTGGTAGGTGAAAATGTTAGGGTAAAAATTTTATTTGATTGAAATCATTTATTAAAAGTGGTGGCTCACGCCTGTAATCCCAGCACTTTGGGAGGCCAAGGCGGGCAGATCACAAGGTCAGGAGATCGAGACCATCCTGGCTAACACGGTAAAACCCCATCTCT